CGCGAAGAAGCAGGACAGCGAGGTAAGCCTGTCGTTCATTACTTGTATTGACTTTTTTGACGTGGGTGTCGGGAGGTCGGAGAAGGCTCGACACTTGGCAGGATTGGCTTCAATTCCTCGTTCTGTCAGGTAAAAACCGAGGAATTTCCCTGCCTTGACCCCGAACGTGCACTTCTCGGGGTTGAACCTCATCTTACATTGTCTTGCTTGGGCAAAGACCACTTTGAGGTGGGCTGCATGGTCGGTGTCTTCTCGGGATTTGACGATCATGTCGTCCATGTAAACCTCGAGCATGTCCCTGATTTGGTTGTGGAACACTCTGTTCATCATACGTTGGTATGTTGCCCCTGCGTTTTTAAGACCAAAGGGCATTACGTTGTAGTAATAGTTGCCTGAGTTGGTCATGAAGGCAGTGCAATGCTTGTCGCTCACGGCCATTGGGATTTGCTTATAGCCTGAATAGGCATCCATGAACGATAGTATTTTATAACCGGCCGAGTTGTCGACCAACATGTCTATGTTCGGTAAAGGGAAAGCGTCTTTCGGGCATGCCTGATTGAGATCAGTATAATCAACACACATTCTCCATTTTCCATTATTCTTTTTGACTAGTACAACATTTGACAGCCAGGTTGAATACCGGGATTCAGAAATAAAATTTGCCTTTAAGAGGTCTTTTACAGCTTTTTCAGCAGCCTCCATTTTCTCCGGAGACTGCCTACGTCTATGTTGTACTACCGCCCTAGCGTCTGGATCTATGGCAAGACGGTGACAGGTGACCTCGGGGTCGAGTCCTGGCATCTCTGCGGCGCTCCACGCGAACAAGTCAGCATTCTCGCAGAAGCAGGCTTTGATTTGCTTCCTTGCCAGGTCGGGGAGGTCAGTACTGATCTTCACTCCTTTGCTCGCGTCCTCGCCGAGGGGGACGAGCTCGAAGTCCCCGTCCGGAATTGGTCGGAGGGGGACTTGCTCGCTGTTGGGAGGCTCATCCTGGTCGAAGCGGGTGTCCAAGGCTATGGATTCGACCTTTGGGGGAGCTCTCTGTTCTTCTGCCTTGATGGGCTTTGTCTTCTCGGGCTCTGGTCGTGCCGTGACTGGTCTCTTGGCGGGCCTTGTCCCAGTGTCGACCGTGTCGCATCCCTTGGATGCCGTGATGAAACACCTTCGAGCGGCGGCCAGGTCCCCTTGGATGGTGGCGACCCGTGCCCTCTTGGTGTAAAACTTCATCTTCAAGTGGACGGTAGAGGGTACCGCGGTCAGTTCCGCCAGTGTTGGTCTTCCCAGGATGCAATTATAGAGGGACGGGCAGTCCATAACGAGGAAGCGCACCTTGACCTGCCTCGTCGTTGTGTCCTCGCCAAAGGTAACCATGAGCTCGATGTATCCCCAAGGTTTGGAGGTCGAGCCGTTGAAGCCCTGTAGGTCCGACCCCACATAAGGTGAGAGGTGTGAGTCATCGAGCTGCAGGGTCCGGAATAGTTGACTGTACATTACGTCGACGGAAGTTCCTTCGTCGACGAGAATGCAGTGTATGTCAAAATTAGCTATTCTCGCTCTTATTAGCAGAGGAATGACCGCGTTGGGGGCTCCCCCAGGGAGCTCTTCGAGGTAAAAGGTGATAGGCTCCGATTTACCTTTCACTCTTTCAAAAGTCACCGTCTGAGGAGGTGCAGAGTCGACCAGTTCATCCAGCTTCCTCTTGGCCGAATTTATGGTTAGGTCGTTGAATCCTCCACCATTGATGACCATGGCGGAGGGAAATTTCTCCCACCTGTTGTGTGTTGACAACGGTTCTTGCAAGTTCTCGGGGAAGTAGAAGTCCTCAGGTCTTGTGACGGAGAAGGCGGTCTGGATGAGGATCGACTCGTCAGATGGTCGGGCATCCTCTTCCGGCTCTCTTGTCACCCGGGTGTCGCGACGAGGAGCGTCGTTTTTCCGGTATTGGGCGAGTCTTCTCCCTTTATGAGGGTCTCGATGGCGTCCTTGAGGTGGACGCAATCCTCCGTTAGATGACCATGGCTCCTATGGTACTGACAGCATTTTCTTTTGTCGACCTCGGGCTTGGCAGGAGCTGGTCGAGGGCGCTTAACGCTGCCATCTTTGAAATCCGTGCTAGCACACTCTACCAAGATGTGCTCGCGGGAAGCCGTGAACGAAGTGTATTCTGTGAAACACCCCGAGGGTCCTCTCTGTTCTCAGACTTCTCGGGGTTTGTCATCCTTTCTTTTCTCCCCGGCTCGTCGAGGAGGAGCGGCCTCCTGGCGCGGGTTGCTGCTGGATCCACGAGTTCTGGGATCGCGGGCTCTGTTGGCCGCTTCCCTTTCCTCATAATCCATATAGGCCCTAGCCTTCTCGAGGAGAGCGTCGAACGTTCGGGAAGGTTCGATGCCCTCTTCTTTTCTGAACTCGGTGCTGGGGAGGAGTCCCCTCTCCAGTAAGTATCTTTTCATGTGGTCCGCGTAGGGGACCTGGATGGCTTCACGATTGAAGCGGTTGATGAACTCTCTCAAGGTTTCATCCTGCCTCTGGATGATAGCCTCGAGTGCTGCTTCGGTCTTTGGATGTCGCTGCGACGCGGTGAATGAGCTTATGAATTGGTTTTTCAAGTTCCTCCACGAGGTGATTGACCCTGGAGCAAGACCCTTATACCAATCCATTGCTGCTTTCCTGAGAGTTGTGGGGAACAACCGGAATTTGATGGGTCCCCCAACATTATGGTAGTGCAGTATATCTTCGAACCCGTCTATGTGGTCGACTGGGTCGGCAACTCCGTCATATTCCTTCAGGTGAGGGGGCTTCTCCATGCCCGGGGGGATTGGAGCCTCCATGATGGCTTGTGATAGGGGACCGCGGGGGTCGTCCTCATCACTTCGTTCTGGGGAAAGGGACGGGGATCTGAGGTATTATCGGGCACGACGATCCTGGTCGTGTTGGGTGTCCCTCGAGCGGTGCGTTCATTGGTCCGTCCTTCTGTGCCTGTCTCCAGGATGTCTTCTTTCTTGTCGTAAGGGGCCGTGGTTGCGCCCTCTGGTTTCAATGACCGGTTCCCTCTCCAAGGGGGGTCGTCTCCCCGGTTGTTGGGGTGAAGGGCTTCGGGAGGCGTCTCTGTATTGTCTCCGCGCGGGAGATGGGAGACGTACCTCTGTCCTTCGAGGAGGTGGGGTCTGGGGCCTCCTGTGTCTCCTTGCGGGTCTTCTGTCGTCTTCCAGCGCCCTCAATCTTTCCCCCTGGGAAAAGATGAGGTAGTTGGTTTGATTGATTTCCGCGAACAATGCTATGGTCGTGGCATCTGCCCCAACGGGGACAGGGACCTCATGGAATTGGGCAGCTAGATAGTTTGGGGGAGTTGTATTGTCTTCTTCGAGTGGAGGGGGGACTGAAGAAGATGAGGTCGTGGTTCCGTTGCGGTGGCCTGAGGGACCGGGGATGACACCCTCGGGGAGTGTGTTATGGTCATGGTTGTCGGCGTTGTCGGGGATTCCGTCTTTGTCCGCGAGGTTGTTGTTGGCATTGACGACGCGGACGCTCTGGTCTTCTTGAGTCTGGTCAGCCATGACGGTAGGAGATGGTCTTTAGCTTTGGTCTTTGAGAGTTTGTAAGATGGAGAAGCTAGTTTCCCACAGACGGCGCCACTGATCTTACTGGATCAGACTTGGACCGTCACAGCTGGTTCGAACTGATTTTGAGAGAGATGGGGGGGGGATACCTGCAAGACACTCCGATGCTAAAATGAGAGACGGAATAGGCAGGCAAAAAGTATATAAGAGTGTGATAGATGAATACCTGACCCTCTTGGAACATAGGGTATTTATAGCCCCCAGCGTTGGGCCAAGATCCCCTCATTGGGCTGACCAGAACTGGCCCAATAAAGGGACTACCAAGTTCTACGTGTGTAGTGGGGACCCGCACGTAGTCCCCTTCCTGGTGGTGCTCTGCGAAGAATGAGGAAGGACGAAAATGTGGTCTTTCCGGAGCTTTGATGATTCCATAACGGTTAGAATGGACAGAATCTGCCCTACGGGGAGGGTGCTCGAGCTGGACTCGAGCTGGAGTTCTCTTGGTCGGGGATGTTGCTCGTCGCGGGCAGTGGCGGGCATATCAGCTGTGGTCTTTGGTCAGGCACGTTCGGTGATGGTCCGTTCGTGAGCATTTCCCGAGGAGCTGCTTGGATCTGGGCCTTTACCTGCACTTTGGATCAAGGCGGACCCATTCCAGAACAATATCCATTCACATTCCTAATTAAGATCGCAATGTCATTTTTGATATGAGTTGTTTGGAAAAAGATATTTAACTTTCAATCTTCGTTTGGCCAATTGATGAGCCATAAACATCTATGTCTCACTTCCTAAGGTCATTCAATATGGATAAATTCCTTGTTTGACTTTTTGATATGAGTTGCATGGAAAAAGATATTGAACTTTCAATCTTCGTTTGGCCAATTGATGAGGCCATAAACATCTATGTCTCACTTTCTAAGGTCATTCAATATGGATCAATTCCTTTACCATTTCTTTCGGGATCGGCCAATTATGGCTATTAATAAGCCTGTAAGAGCTATGTCCGCGTAGAGATGTTCCTTGGATGTGTCAATCTTGGGTCGGCCTATTTGCCTTTAAGAGCTATGAAAATACGCACAGACTATAACTGCATTTGTACATCCACGTATGTGAAAGAGAAAAGTTATACAATCTAACAATATACACAAACGACTAAATATTAATTTCAAACAGAACCAATGCACTTAACAATCAACACAGCATCGATATAAATATCATAGAAACATTAAATCAGACTGAAATATATAAATATAATTCTGAAAGAAAAACAAGTACTAAGCATATATAAATCTACATATCACAGCTATTTGATGAATAAATTTAAACATAACATTAATCCACAAGATTGATCCTTTAATAGAAATTGTAAGATGTTAAAACAAAATTATGAATAAAACATGAGTTTAGTCTCTAAACTTATCATTATCACTCTAATATAATCACTCAAGCCCATTTATTTTCGCGACGAAAGTCTTCCTCTTCCTCTTTTGCGAAGTCATTCACAATGTTGAACATTTTGCGAATCTCCTCAATAGTCTTACCAGTCATTGTCTCCGTAATAGCCTGGCTTATAAGATCCAAGAGACTCTTGATGTCTAAATAGTTTGCAGCCAATATGAGTTCAAAGATTGTGTCTTGATCAACCTTGACGAATTCAGCATCCCAAGTGTTAGATATATAATTTTTGTTCTGTCAAAATATTTGTATGGTGTATGTCGAATAACTTTTGTATAGGTTATAAGCTGTATTCGACAGAGTCGAATATAACAGATATTACAGTCTGTCGAAATCATATTTTGGGTTTTAACATTTTTGTCTAATTGGGCCTGGACATTGTTTGTTTATATAAAGGACTGTTGAGTTTGTAATTAAAAAAAAAGTGAGAACGAAATCAAAATAACGAACTCTCAATTCTCTTTCTTCTCTCTTCTTCTTCTTCTTCTTCTTCTCCTCCTCTATAAATCATCTTTCTTGAAAACCCTTTGTTCCAACAAGTTGGTATAACAGAGCTCGGTTGTGATTCAGAGAGAATCTAATGGAAAACGGAAGAACAACATCAACACAGTTTCCAGCGAATCTACCAACTTTTAAAGGTGAAAACTATCAGCGGTGGATTGTGCAGATGAAGGTTATTTTTGAGATTTCAAGATGTTGTTGAAATCTTGAATGATGGAGTATCAGAACTAGAAGCAAATGCGACGGAAGCCCAGAAAAATGCACACAAAGATCAGAGGAAGAAAGATGGTAAAACAATGTTCTTGATTCACCAGTGTGTAGATTTTGATGTATTTGAGAAAATAATTGAAGAAGAAACAGCAAAAGGAGCTTGAGAAAAGGTAAAAAACATGTATGGTGGAGATGAGAAATTGAAGAAGGTGAAGTTGCAGACACTAAGGAAGCAATACGAGATGCTTCAGATGAAAGAAGATGAATCAATCTCTGCAAATTTCTCAAGAGTTGTGACCTAACAAACCAGATGAAGGCATATGGTGAATCAGTTATGGATCTACAGAAGATATAAAAGGTGTTAAGATCTTTAATAGCAGATTTTGAATATATTGTTGTGACAATTGAAGAGTCCGAGAATCTATCTGAGATGAAGTTGGAAGAACTTCAAGCTTCATTGGAGGCTCATGAAATGAGGTTGAAGCAGAAAAACTCAAAAAGAGAGAAGGTGACTGGACATGCATTGCAATCAAGATTCAACAAGAAAGCTGGAAAAGAGAAGTCGAAGCAGCGAAAGAATCTTGCTATTGATGATAAGTCGGGCAAGAATACTGATTCGATCAAGAAAGGTGTGGACAAAAAGTATTCTGGGAAGAAAGTTGACACGAAAGAGGTGAAATGTTACAATTGTCAAGGTTTTGGTCACTATGCTAGAGACTGTCGAAGAAAGAAAGCTGCAAGGGTGAAAGATAGTGATGTATCTAAATATGCACGAGTTAAAGATAGTGATTCAAATGATATGTTGCTGATGGTGAACACTCAGTCGAACACTGAGAAAAAAATATATGGTATCTAGATTCAGGATGCAGCAACCACATGACTGGCAATAAAATTTGGTTTACCAAGTTAGATGAGTCAATCGAAAATGTGATAAAGTTTGCAGATGACAGGCACATCAAATCAGATGGTAAAGGAGATATTTCGATTGTCAGGAAGGATGGTCCAAAAGCTACTATCACTGAAGTATTATATGTACCTTCTATGACAAGTAACTTGATAATTGTATGTCAATTACTTGCAAAAGGCTTCAATATGTGTCATACCCCAAATTTGTCCTAACCTCGACGATCGTATTTTCTAGATTAAAATAATAAAGAAAAATTTAATTAAGGATGGTACAGCAATATCTGATGGCCCATTCTTAAAATGTAAGTCAACCAGGGGGTGTATTTTAATTCGGGAAGGTGGGGCTTTTTGAATCAGAAAAGACCCATAAATTTATTTGCGAAGCATGTTGGCCTATGGCCCATGAGATTCGAAAATGGAAATTCGTTTCAAAATTAATAATTATTAAGTTCTCAAACTAAAGCCTATTTAAGTCTTATTATTTTTTAGTAAAGAGGGTGTAGAATATCAATTAAAAGCCCGTTACAATTCAATTCGTTGGGATCATTTCCATTTTTTGGTCATTAAAAAGTAAGGAGGGAGGTACGAATATGAACTGTAGGCCCATTATATTTTTAAGCCCATTACATGTTGTGTTGCTATTTGTTTAGAAAAGAAAATAAACATTATTAATAAAATTGTTTGTCATTATTTTTTTTATTTTAAAAAAAGAAATATATAATAAATTATATATTTCTTTAAGAAAACGTGACACATTTTTATTACTGTTAGACTTTTTCATAATGTTTTCATAAATCATTAACTTCTGTTTTTTTTAAATTGCGGTGTTGAAAAAAAAGATTTGTTGGACCAAAGTTAGGCCCAATTTGTAATGAAAAAACGTGTGATAAATAATTGAGCTAAGACGCATGCCTAAATTCGCTAAGTCGAGGAAGCCCAAATCCTTAACTGTTACTGCGTAAATCAAGGAAGAGATTTGCGCATGTTTTTTTGCAGTAACAGTTATTGTTCAGATTAAACCTAAATCAAATAAAACTAAAACAAATCAAATTTACATCTAACAGTAAATCAAAGCCCAGAATTGCGGAGTTACATTGCAAATTTTACAGAAAAAACCTACAGAATCCATTGAATTAAATCTTTAACATTCTCAAAACCGCAAAATCAATGATTACAGACAATCCAAATATATCGCAAATCTTACAGAATCTTCAATTACAGAAATCTCTAAAACCTAATCCCTAATTTCTCTAAGTTATCCTAAATCTAATCCTAGCAATCCAAAACCCTAAATAAACGTAACTCTATAAATAACAGAAATCAAAAGAGAGGAGGGCGGATTTTTGGATACAAAAACAAGGGGCTGAGACAGTAGAGAAAGAGGAAGAGAAACCGGAGAATTGAGTACAAGGACGGTTAGGGTTTCAATTTCTAAAACCCTAACCGTGAACCGCTATCTTCCATCGCTATCACCATCATCATCGGACACCACGATTACCTGCAAGGAAAACAAAGAAGAAGAGAAGATTAGCTTGAAACCAAACCAAAGCTTGAGTTCAGAATTCGATTACGGAAGGGGTAACACTTAGCTCTTCAATTGATTGTTCATGTCTTTGTTTGGGGATTTGTGGGGTAAAATTGTGGTAAGGGTTAGAGAGACACGAGGCACCGCCGAAAAGATTTAGGGTTTGAAAGGGGAAGAGATACAAGGGTAGCGTGAAAGAGAGAGGGAAGGGTGAACATGCTGTAAAACAGAATTTGTAAAAATGAAAAGAAACAAAACAAGTTATATTTTGTTAGGATACAATACGCGCACATACATAGTGATATCATGCTCCTTCAATTTTGTACCGTGTGATCTCCATCAGACGGCCATAGGCCAAGTCTCACAGTAACTCCCTGCACCTGCACGCACACAATCCAACCGACCCCCTCCAATTAACTTAATGGACCGAGCCCAGTACTTTCTACAACCCCCCTTTGCCCATATTTTTAAAACAAGAACAATTGTACATCCCCATGTCTGAATAAACATTTGGGCCAGCCTGGCTTTCTTTTCAGAATTCGATTACGGAAGGGGTAACACTTAGCTCTTCAATTGATTGTTCATGTCTTTGTTTGGGGATTTGTGGGGTAAAATTGTGGTAAGGGTTAGAGAGACACGAGGCACCGCCGAAAAGATTTAGGGTTTGAAAGGGGAAGAGATACAAGGGTAGCGTGAAAGAGAGAGGGAAGGGTGAACATGCTGTAAAACAGAATTTGTAAAAATGAAAAGAAACAAAACAAGTTATATTTTGTTAGGATACAATACGCGCACATACATAGTGATATCATGCTCCTTCAATTTTGTACCGTGTGATCTCCATCAGACGGCCATAGGCCAAGTCTCACAGTAACTCTCTGCACCTTCACGCACACAATCCAACCGACCCCCTCCAATTAACTTAATGGACCGAGCCCAGTACTTTCTACAACCCCCCTTTGCCCATATTTTTAAAACAAGAACAATTGTACATCCCCATGTCTGAATAAACATTTGGGCCAGCCTGGCTTTCTTTTAAGACACCCTCTATTTTACTTGCATAACTAATACTGCACCCCCCTGAGTCTAGTTGATTTTATATTTTTATAATTTAAAAATCATTTCTATTTTATAAATATATATATATATATATATATATATATATATATATATATATATATATATATATATATATATATATATATATATATATATATATATAAAATTTAATTATAGTAATTATTATTATGATCAAATAATGAATTATTATTATTATTATTATTATTATTATTATTATTATTATTATTATTATTATTATTATTATTATTATTATTATTATTATTATTATTATTATTTATTTTTATATTAATTATTATTATTATATAGTGCTATAATTACTTAATTTTTACTATTATAATTATCAATTTTATTGTAATTCTTTTTTAGAATTATGTTTATTCTTATCTTTTATTATTTAAATATTATTATATTATCAAATAATTTATTTTTATATTAAAATTGCATATATTAATTTATATATCATTTGTATTAAATTATTTTCAATCATGCATTAATCAAGAGCTTCACAAATAATACGATTACAAAACACAAACAAATCTTCAAACTATTTTAGCAATAAACTAAACTAATCAACTGTCTTTTTGCAAAAGAATTTCAAACTGGTTTTGACTGAGTGCATTCTCAGTCAAAATCTGCACAATCACCACTCCCGACCTAGTGTAAAGTGATTCAAAATATGTTTGCAAACCCCTAAAAAACATCAACCCATACGAACTACGAATTGGGACTCTGATTCCTTATAAGAGGATACGTAGGCATACGATCTAAAATCATGGCGAGTCTTTCTTATTAAAACTTAAAATTCAGTTTACCCCAAACCTAAACCTAGAGTCTAATTTCCTTGTGAACAAGATGGATGAAAGGTGCCTAACACCTTCCTTTCGTCAAATTGAGTCCGAAACCTAGAATCTATGTTTTTGAATTAGGGTTTTCTGTTAGATTCCCTTCCCTGGGATAAAAACTAATAATGGCGACTCTTGATTAAAAAACCAATTTCTACAGCTGGCGACACTGCTGGGGACTCTCATTAACCCTAGGTTTAGGTATTTTTGGGTTTCTATTTTTATTTGCTTTATTTATTTATTGCATTTATCTACTTTATCGCATTTATTTACTTATTGTCAATTTATCTTATCATCATATATTTACTGCGTGGCGGGATTTTCTATCTCAAAAATATTTCCAATATAACCCTTAGAAAGAAGGTTCGTCTATTAGCTTAGGGGGTACATCATCCCTATGAGTTTATGTGACGACTTCGCCTAGAGTCGGTGAACTTCCGAAAAAGGAAT